CCATCATTAGGGGGAAAAACGGTGATCCAATCTCCGACCCCCAGGAACAAGTTTGCAGATTTGCTGAGCATTTCTGTGAGGTCCTGGGGGAGGGGAAATCCCTCAGCCAGAAAAACATCGTGGCACAAAGTGGGGATAACCCTGCTGAGGCTGCGGTGCCTCAAATATTGGAAGAAGTCATCCCCTGTGAGTGGCTGGCTGAGGTGCCATCTGTTGAGGAAGTACTGAGGGCGATCCGGAGTCTGAGACCAGGAAAGGCACCGGGCAGAGATGATCTCCCAAGCGAAATTCTGAGGGAGGGTAGCGTTTGTGCACAGACTGCCCTACATGACATCATAACAACAGTCTGGACCACTGGACGGGTTCCGCAGGATTGTAAGGATGCCCTGGTGGTCCCCCTGTGTAAGAAGGGGGACCGCACAGACTGTAACAACTACATGGGCATCTCACTCCTCAGTGTGCCGGGAAAGGTCCTGGCAAGGATTATTCAACATCGCCTTGCCAGGCACGCTGAGGAGAGGCTTGTAGAGTCCCAATGCGGTTTCAGGAAAGGGCGGTCCTGCACAGATTCCATTTTTTCTGTCCGTCCGCTACAGGAGAGGTGTAGGGAATTCCAACAAGACTTACATCTCTGCTTTATTGACCTGGTCAAGGCCTATGATACCATCAGTCGGCCTGGGCTCTGGATTGTTTTTCGTGCTTTCGGAGTCCCTGACCCTCTGCTCACGATCATTAAGGACCTTCATAATGGTGAACGGGCCCGGGTAAAACTACGTGGCCGGGAGTCAGAGCCTTTCCCTGTACACCTTGGGGTGCGACAGGGATGTCCTCTGGCTCCCACATTATTTAACATCTATTTTGAAGCCTTCAATAGCTGTACCGGGGGAATTTCCATTTGGTACAGATATAATGGGAGGCTGATCGATGCCCGGGTGCGATCAAGGGATGGCTCCCTAGTGGTCAACCACGTTATGTATGCCGATCATTTGGTAATAGCTGCTCATTCAGATGAGGAGTTGGAGACGCTGCTGCTGAGACTAGAGCGTGCCACTAAGAGGTGGGGCCTTACCATCAGCCCCACCAAAACTAAGCATCTGCCTGGGTATTTTGTACCATCAGACACTCCACCCCCACAACTCCCAATCGGTGATGGGGCAGTTGTGGAAAGAGTTGAGAGTTTCCCATACCTGGCCAGTGTGCTTATGACCGGCTCCAGTTTAACAGCAGAAGTCTCACTCCGAATCAGTCGAGCGGCAATATCTTTCATCGGTTGCGTAACGCTGTGTGGAAGCTACCTGGTCTGTCGCTCCGCACGAAGCTTCAGGTCTTCTCGGCCACAGTCATTCCCTCCCTTCTCTACGCTTGCGAAACGTGGACCCCCCTAATGGAGCATCTTCGCCGGTTGGAAACATTTAGGCTGGCCTGCCTACGATCCATCCTGGGTTTAACCAAGCTGGATTGTGTGAGGAGCTCACAAATCCTTGAAAGATCTGGTCAAAGTCCCATCGGTGAGCTCCTCCGGGAGGCAAGGCTGTGTTGGCTGGGTCATGTAGCCCGCATGCCCAGCCACCGCATGCCTAAACAGCTTTTGTTCGGCCGGATCGAGGGGGCTAAACGGGCGCGGCACGGGCTAGAGAAGAGATGGAGTGATGTGGTACAGGAGGACGTGGAGCTGAGTGGACTTGCCGATGACTGGTACCAGCGGTGTCAAGATCGGCCTCTGTGGAGGAGGCTCGTGAAGGACGCTACTGGGCAGTTGGAGGCAGTCGCCCTCCAACAACAACGGATGGTGGAGGAGCGACGCTCACAAAAACGAGCGGAGCGCCGGGTGGCTAAAGCACAGCAAGTTGGCACAGTAAGGGGCACAGGTGGTGCATCAGCCAGTCATCTCGGTCATCTCGGTCAGTCGACCCGTGGCACCTGGGTCTGCCCCGTGACCTCTTGCCAGCGGGCGTTCGACACTTCACGTGGCCTCAAGGTGCACATGGCCTGGCACAAGCGTCGTGGTGACGTCACCGCCACTTAGTGGCGAATGGCTGTTGTTGTTGTGTGTAGCTGTGTGTGTGTATCTGTGTGTGTGTAGCTGTGTGTGTGTAGCTGTGTGTCTGTGTAGCTGTGTGTGTAGCTGTGTGTGTGTGTAGCTGTGTGTGTGTAGCTGTGTGTGTGTAGCTGTGTGTGTGTGTAGCTGTGTGTGTGTCTGTGTGTGTGTATCTGTGTGTGTGTAGCTGTGTGTGTGTGTGTTGCTGTGTGTGTGTAGCTGTGTGTGTGTGTTGCTGTGTGTGTGTGTTGCTGTGTGTGTGTGTTGCTGTGTGTGTGTAGCTGTGTGTGTGTGGTTGGGGAGCGGTGGTGCAGCGGTAAGCGCTACGCTGCGCTACGAACCTGGCGATTCCCGCTCACGGCCAACACCACCCAGTGACGATTGTCTGAACTGATACCTGGGCCTCCTCTAGGTCGCCTCAGCCTCAAATGAGTACCTGGTGCGGTGTGTAAACATTGCCACTAGAGAGACAAAGGCGGTCGGGCGTGGTTCTGGCCACCCACCCCCTCGTGTGCCGTTCCGGCCTTCATAGGTGCTCACTAACAGCACTTGCCCCAACAGTCTGTTACAGGCTACACGGGGCATCTTTGTCTTTGTGTGTGTGTATACAAGTCTGTCTGTGTGTCTGTCTGTATTCCTGTTAGTCTGTATCGATACCTGTAAGTCTATCTGTGGGTGAGAATGTATGTGTGTGTATGTGTGTATGCGTGTGTATGTGTGTATGCATGTTTGTATATATACGTCTGCCTGTGCGTGTGTCTGTCTGTGCGTGTGTCTGTCTGTGTGTCTGTCTGTACGTGTGTCTGTCTGTGCGTGTGTCTGTCTGTGCGTGTGTCTGTCTGTACGTGTGTCTGTCTGTGTGTCTGTCTGTCTGTGCGTGTGTCTGTCTGTGTGTGTGTCTGTCTGTGTGTGTGTGTACCTGTACGTGTGTCTGTCTGTACGTGTGTCTGTCTGTACATGTGTCTGTCTGTCTGTCTGTGCGTGTGTCTGTCTGTGCGTGTGTCTGTCTGTGTGTCTGTCTGTACGTGTGTCTGTCTGTACGTGTGTCTGTCTGTGTGTGTGTCTGTCTGTGCGTGTGTCTGTCTGTGCGTGTGTCTGTCTGTGCGTGTGTCTGTCTGTACGTGTGTCTGTCTGTACGTGTGTCTGTCTGTGCGTGTGTCTGTCTGTGCGTGTGTCTGTCTGTGAGTGTGTCTGTCTGTGCGTGTGTCTGTTTGTACGTGTGTCTGTCTGTGTGTGTGCCTGTCTGTGCGTGTGTCTGTCTGTGTGTGTGTGTGTCTGTGCGTGTGTCTGTCTGTACGTGTGTCTGTCTGTACGTGTCTGTCTGTACGTGTTTCTGTCTGTGCGTGTGTCTGTCTGTCTGTGTGTGTGTCTGTCTGTGCGTGTGTCTGTCTGTGTGTGTGTCTGTCTGTACGTGTGTCTGTCTGTGCGTGTGTCTGTCTGTACGTGTGTCTGTCTGTACGTGTTTCTGTCTGTGTGTGTGTCTGTCTGTGCGTGTGTCTGTCTGTCTGTACGTGTGTCTGTCTGTGCGTGTGTCTGTCTGTGCGTGTGTCTGTCTGTGCGTGTCTGACTGTGTGTGTGTCTGTCTGTACGTGTGTCTATATGTACGTGTGTCTGTCTGTACGTGTGTCTGTCTGTGTGTCTGTCTGTCTGTGTGTGTGTCTGTCTGTGTGTGTGTCTGTCTGTGCGTGTGTCTGTCTGTACGTGTGTCTGTCTGTGCGTATGTCTGTCTGTATGTGTGTCTGTCTGTGCGTGTGTCTGTCTGTCTGTGCGTGTGTCTGTCTGTTGCGTGTGTCTGTCTGTGCGTGTGTCTGTACGTGTGTCTGTCTGTGCGTGTGTCTGTCTGTGTGTGTGTCTGTCTGTACGTGTGTCTGTCTGTGTGTGTGTCTGTCTGTACGGGTGTCTGTCTGTGCGTGTGTCTGTCTGTGTGTGTCTGTCTGTGCGTGTGTCTGTCTGTGTGTGTGTCTGTCTGTGCGTGTGTCTGTCTGTACGTGTGTATGTCTGTGTGTGTGTCTGTCTGTACGTGTGTCTGTCTGTGTGTGTGTCTGTCTGTGCGTGTGTCTGTCTGTGTGTGTCTGTCTGTGCGTGTGTCTGTCTGTACGTGTGTCTGTCTGTGTGTGTGTCTGTCTGTACGTGTGTCTGTCTGTACGTGTGTCTGTCTGTGTGTGTGCCTGTCTGTGCGTGTGTCTGTCTGTGGGTGTGTCTGCCTGTGCGTGTGTCTGTCTGTACGTGTGTCTGTCTGTGTGTGTGTCTGTCTGTGTGTGTGTCTGTTTGTGTCTGTGTCTGTCTGTGCGTGTGTCTGTCTGTGTGTCTGTCTGTGCGTGTGTCTGTCCGTGCGTCTGTCCGTACGTGTGTCTGTCTGTGTGTGTGTCTGTCTGTGCGTGTGTCTGTACGTGTGTCTGTCTGTGTGTGTGTCTGTCTGTGCGTGTGTCTGTCTGTGTGTGTGTGTGTCTGTATGTGTGTGTGTGTCTGTCTGTGCGTGTGTCTGTGCGTGTGTCTGTCTCTACGTGTGTCTGTCTGTCTGTGTGTCTGTCTGTCTGTGTGTGTGTCTGTGTGTGTTTCTGTCTGTGCGGGTGTCTGTCTGTGCGTGTGTCTGCCCGTGTGTGTGTCTGTCTGTGTGTGTGTCTGTCTGTACGTGTGCCTGTCTGTACGTGTGTCTGTCTGTACGTGTGTCTGTCTGTGTGTCTGTCTGTCTGTACGTGTGTCTGTCTGTACGTGTGTCTTTCTGTACGTGTGTCTGTCTGTGTGTGTGTCTGTCTGTGTGTGTGTCTGTCTGTGCGTGTCTGTCTGTACGTGTGTCTGTCTGTGCGTGTGTCTGTCTGTGTGTGTGTCTGTCTGTACGTGTGTCTGTCTGTGCGTGTGTCTGTCTGTGCGTGTGTCTGCCTGTGTGTGTGTCTGTCTGTGCGTGTGTCTGTCTGTACACGTGTCTGCGTGTGCGCGTGTCTGTGCGCGTGCCACTGCGTACCTGTGTTAGACACAAGGGCGAGTACATCTCTGCTGCTGCCGGCGCGGACGATCGCAGTGTGGACGAGGCGAGCTGGAGGATGGTGATGGTGGTGGTGATGGTGGTGATGTTGGTGATGTGTGAGTGAGATGTAAACTAAACTGTGACATATAACAACACCAAGAAACACTCCCCAGCAATATTCTTAGACCCACGGAGCGATCTCGCTCTCCCCTCTCCCCTCTCTCGTGCTCCCAAATAAATGAATCGGCGCGATGTTTTTGTCTTTAAACAAGAAGATGACTCCCGCCTCCAGACCCCCCCTCCCTCCCACCTCCTCCTCCTCCCTCGGGGGTGAGACTCAGAAGCGAGGCGCTATTCACACGCACACACGCACGCACACACACGCACACACGCGCGCGCACACGCGCACACACACGCACACACACACACGCACACACACACACGCACACACCCACACACACGCACACACACACACACGCGCGCACACGCAACACGCGCACACACCCACAACCCTCCAAATACGTGGAGGAAAAGAGTGGTGGTGGTGGTGGGGAGTGGTGGGGAGTGGTGGTGGTGGGGAGTGGTGGGGAGTGGTGGTGGTGGGGAGTGGTGGTAGTGGTGGTGAGGAGTGGTGGTGGTGGGGGGGAGTCGTGGTGGGGAGTGGTGGTGGTGGGGAGTGGTGGTGGTGGGGGGTGGTGGGGAGTGGTGGTGGTGGTGGTGGGGAGTGGTGGTGGTGGGGGGAGTGGTGGGGAGTGGTGGTGGTAGTGGTGGTGAGGAGTGGTGGTGGTGGGGAGTGGTGGTGGTGGGGAGTGGTGGGAAGTGGTGGTGGTGGTGGTGGGGAGTGGTGGTGGTGGGGAGTGGTGGTGGTGGTGGGGAGTGGTGGTGGTGGTGAGGAGTGGTGGTGGTGGTGGTGGGGAGTGGTGGTGGTGGTGAGGAGTGGTGGTGGTGGTGCTGGTGGGGAGTGGTGGTGGTGGGGAGTGGTGGTGGTGGTGGTGGGGAGTGGTGGTGGTGGGGAGTGGTGGTGGGGAGTGGTGGTGGTGGTGGTGGGGAGTGGTGGTGGAGAGTGGTGGTGGTGGGAATTGGTAGTGGTGGTGGTGGTGGGGAGTGGTGGTGGTGGGGAGTGGTGGTGGTAGTGGTGATGGGGAGTGGTGGTGGTGGTGGTGGGGAGTGGTGGTGGTGGGGAGTGGTGGTGGGGAGTGGTGGTGGTGGGGAGTGGTAGTGGTGGTGGTGGTGGGGAGTGGTGGTGGTGGTGGAGAGTGGTGGTGGTGGGGAGTGGTGGTGGTGGTGGTGGGGAGTGGTGGTGGGGAGTGGTGGTGGTGCTGGTGGGGAGTGGTGGTGGTGGTAGAGAGTAGTGGTGGGGAGTGGTGGTGGTGGTGGTGTGGAGTAGTGGTGGTGGGGAGTGGTGGTGGTGGAGAGTGGTGGTGGTGGTGGGGAGTGGTGGTGGTGGAGAGTATTGGTGGTGGGGAGTGATGGTGGTGCTGGTGGGGAGTGGTGGTGGTGGTGGGGAGTGGTGGTGGGGAGTGGTGGTGGGGAGTGGTGGTGGTGGAGAGTAGTGGTGGTGGGGAGTGGTGGTGGTGCTGGTGGGGAGTGGTGGTGGTGGTGGGGAGTGGTGGTGGTGGTGGAGAGTAGTGGTGGGGAGTGGTGGATTCCTCTCCTCCCACTCTGGACTGTGTAGAGAGCTAAAGAGAGAGAGTCGAAGTCTCTTCTCTGGCAGTGGGCACGTGGTGGTGGTGGTGGTGGTGGTCGTGGTGGGAGGGGGCTGTGGGGGCAGGGGGCGGGGCTGGTGGATAAGGGGGCGGGGCTGGTGGGGGGGTCACACGCGGGATGTGACGGCGGCTCCGAGAGGTTGCCTCCCACCCCGTTGCGTAACACAGACAAAGGTCACCCGGGTAGCCTTGGACAGGCTGTGGGGGCAAGTGCTGTTGGTGAGCAGCACCTATGAAGACAAAGGTCACCCGGGTAGCCTTCGACAGGCTGTGGGGGCAAGTGCTGTTGGTGAGTATCACCTATCAAGACAAAAGTTGCCCGGATAGCCTTCGACAGGCTGTGGGGGCAAGTGCTGTTGGTGAGCAGCACCTATGAAGACAAAGGTCACCCGGGTAGCCTTCGACAGGCTGTGGGGGCAAGTGCTGTTGGTGAGTAGCACCTATGAAGACAAAGGTCCCCCGGGTAGCCTTCGACAGGCTGTGGGGGCAAGTGCTGTTGGTGAGTAGCACCTATGAAGACAAAAGTTGCCCGGGTAGCCTTAGGCAGGCTGTAGTGGCAAGTGCTGTTGGTGAGTAGCACCTATGAAGACAAAGGTCCCCCGGGTAGCCTTCGACAGACTGTAGGGGCAAGTGCTGTTGGTCAGCAGGACCTATGAAGACAAAGGTCACCAGGTAGCCTTAGACAGGCTGTGGGGGCAAGTGCTGTTGGTGAGTAGCACCTATGAAGACAAAAGTTGCCCGGGTAGCCTTCGACAGGCTGTAGGGGCAAGTGCTGTTGGTCAGCAGGACCTATGAAGACAAAGGTCACCAGGTAGCCTTCGACAGGCTGTAGGGGCAAGGGAGGGTGGTGGGTGGCCAACACCACGATTCAGAAAATCGTCAGAGAGAGTCACACACACACTGGCAGGCAAGGAGACACTGTAATACAGTACTCTGTGTGTGTGTGTGGAGCTAAACCCACTACGCCAGACTTTAACCATTTCGCGACCGAATTATCCGAATTTTCAGTGGGAAAATGATCGATTCCGATCATTGCTGATGCTGTTAATTCATTAATATTTGCGGAGGGGCGGCGGGTGGAGTTTGCTTCGGTAATTAAATTAATGTTGTTTAGACTTTAGAATGTTGTTGTTGTTGAACTCGCTAACAGCACTTGCCCCGACAGTCTGTTAGAGGCTACACGGGGGACCTTTGTCTTTGTCTCATTCAGAAGGCGCTGCTGCTGCTACTCGCTAACAGCACTTGCCCCGACAGTCTGTTAGAGGCTACACGGGGCATCTGTGTCTTTCTGTGTGTGTGCGTGGTGTGTGTGTGTCTGTGTGTTTCTGCGTGGTGTGAATGCCTATGAATGAGACACAGACAAAGATCCCCCGTGTAGCCTCTAACAGACTGTAGGGGCAAGTGCTGTTAGCGAGCACCTATGAAGGCCGGCACGGCACACGAGGGGGTGGGTGGCCAGCGACACGCCCGGCCGCCTTTGTCTCACCAGTGGCGACGTTCACTACACACCGCACCAGGTACTCATTTGAGGCTGAGTCGACATAGGGGGAGGCCCAGGACAGGTTCAGATAACCTGTTATTGGTGTTGGCCGTGAGCGGGAATCGAACTCGGGTCGCCGGGTTCGTAGCGCAGCGTAGCGCTAACCACTACACCACGGCTCCCCCCCACACACGTACACACACACACATACACACACACATGTACATACACACACGTACACACACACACGTACACACACACACGTACACACACACACATACACACACACATGTACATACACACACGTACACACACACACACGTACACACACACACGTACACACACACGTACACACACACACATGCACACACACAGACACACACACAGAGACATACACACACACACGTACGTACACACACGTACATACACACACACGTACATACACACACACATACACACACATATACACACACACGTACACACACACACGTACACACACACACGTACACACACGGACGTACACACACATACACACACACGTATACACACACACACGTACAGACATACAGACACACACACACACGTACAGACACACACACGTACACACACATACACACACATAGACACACACACACATACACACACCTACACACACACGTACACACACACACATACACACACACGTACACACACATGTACACACACACACGTACACACACGTACATACACAGACACACACACACGTACAGACACACACACGTACACACACAGACACACACACACACACGTACAGACACACACACGTACACACACACACGTACACAGACGTACACATACACACACAGACACACACACACGTACAGACACACACACGTACACACACGTACACACGACATCCGCACGGCCGTTATGTAAGGAGGCGTGGCTGGTGTGTGGATATCCGTGCAAGGAGGCCACGTGCCACCCACGAGAAGAACGCGGGTCGCCAAGTGGCATTCGATCTCCCTGCGCGCAGATTTCTCCTTAACATTCCTAAATTCACCCCCCGTCATCCCCCCCGTCACCCCCCCCCCCACCATCCCCACCACCATCCCCCCCACCATTCCCCCCACCATCCCCCCCCCCACTCAACCCACCCGCCCCCCCCCAATCTCCCTCGTCCTCTGTCCAACCCAGGGGTGGTGAGTCGATCATTTGGCGAGTGGGGTAGAGAGTTGGACGCCAAGATGGGTGGGAAGGTGGGGGGGGGTAAAAGGGGCTACCTTGGTCTACTCTTCCACGCTGGCCGGACGGACGTGCTGGGGGGGGGAAGACGGTTAAGGGTACGGGGAATCGTTCACCTTGCGAACGAGTTTGGTTCCAGGAGGTGTCTGTTCGTAAGTCGATTAGGTTCGTAAGTCCAGACTTTACTCGCTGGCGATTACAAATGCCGTTGTACGGCGTGTACACTAAACATGAAGGAATGGCTTTACAAATTGTATAATCTCCTGTAGATGTAGATGCCACTGGGTCTTCAACGTTCTGTAGATGTAGCTGCATGCGTTCTTCACGTTCTGTAGGATGTATTATGCCACTGTTCTTCACTTTCTGCAGATGTAGATGCCGCTGGTTCTTCACGTTCTGCAGCTGTAGATGCCACTGGTGCTTCACGTTCTGCAGGATGATATGCACTGGCTTCACTTTCTGGGTTTAGCTTTTTCACGGTTCTTCACGTTCTGCAGATGTAGATGCCACTGGTTCTTCACGTTCTGCAGATGTATATGCCACTGGTTCTTCACGTTCTGCAGATGTAGATGCCACTGGTTCTTCACGTTCTGCAGATGTAGATGCCACTGGTTCTTCACGTTCTGCAGATGTAGATGCCACTGGTTCTTCACGTTCTGCAGATGTAGATGCCACTGGTTCTTCACGTTCTGCAGATGTAGATGCCACTGGTTCTTCACGTTCTGCAGATGTAGATGCCACTGGTTCTTCACGTTCTGCAGATGTAGATGCCACTGGTTCTTCACGTTCTGCAGATGTAGAT